CTAGATCTGTGACGATATTAGATAAAATAAAAGTAATTCCATTTTCATTCTTAAGGACTTGCCCAAAAAGCTCCAGTACGTATTCAGCCGAATCCGATAATTAGTTTTGAATCCATGTACCTAAGTACTTAGCAAATGATCAACCCAAAAAACAAAAATACATTCTACTAGTGTGCATACAAAATAATAATCCTACCTGGTTTTCCCAACTTTTTTAATTAATTTTACGAAAAAGGTATATTTCTCATAAGGTTATGTAATGCACGCATGACTCCTTTAATCTTGCGGATGTCCATAAGCTTAATACCAATCAATTCCTCTTGCTCATTTGTGTCTCCTATTTCCGTAAATAATAACATGCTCCAATGATTTGTTTAATATCTTAGGTACTCGTAAGACCTCCTGGAACCCGTAAAATGTTTATTAACTCTGAATATTTAATAAACTCTGTGTTTATTTGTGAACGGAGATCAAGTGATTTTAATTATATTCTTTGATCCCGCTACACGGTAATTAAAGTAATCAGAATCTTCAATGAGAATATTATTTATTTATCTACCTTGTTTACTGGTGTTCATTGTTAGAATGAGAGGTTGTTTTTGTACACTATTTACGTATTGGTAGAGCGTTTTCTTGGAACTACTTAATAATGCTGTCTTAGAAGTCTCAGAAAGGCTATGTCCATAGGGATGATACGTAAATGTGGATAAGCCTATTAGACAACAGCCGATCCAATAAGAGTTCAAGGTAATTAAATAGCAGTAAATTTAGGGTAAAATGCATATCGTATTCGCATGATTAGCCTATAGTGTTTACTGCTGAACAAAAGCATTAGTGTAAAAGCAGTGAGAAGAGATCTCACATTGTGAAGGTTTGAGCATTTATCACCACGCTTGCTCAAGGCGGATTGGCAACTTCAAACGTATCACTACGTTATTTTTCCACCGTACTCGTAAGTCAGTACAGTACATATTGTGATTCGAAAAACGTCACATTGGTACTTGCCAGGTTTCGACCGGTACCCGCTCCTCCATGCATGGGGAGCGAGCGCCTTTACCAACCCAACACGATCTTTTAAATGCTGAATGAGCCCACCTCCTTTTTATAGGAACTGTAAATAAGAAAAATAATATTTTCCTTTTTCTGTCTTAATGTTTTAAGCTATTTATTATGTGTTGAGTTAACTTCCTTGTAAGGCTGTATTTCTATATTTGTATCCGGGCCCTTCAGCCTACGCGTCGCCACTCCACGCTCACTTCAACTTAATGGGGTCGACACTAATTTATTTTGTACTTACGCAGCTCGAATGACGACTCGAATTTATTTTTAATTTTATTCAAAGCCTAAGACGTGTTTTATTTTATTGTTTTGTGAATAAATTGCGTTATTGTTGTTCTATGTGTATAATTTAACATTAAGGGCCTGCTACGTCACCTTCAATTAAGTTACCGATACATGAAAACTATATACTTTTATTATTGTATAAATTAGGATTTTTTCTCTATTTATGTATTATACATGCACATCACACACACTATGAATAGGAAAACAAACACAGAAACAGAGGCACAAAGATACTGCATATTAACATTTGGAATCTCTTCCTGTACTCCTTCGAAAGGAAAAATGCTTTTACATTAGACACTATATGTTTTTTTTATTATTGTATCCTGCTAACTTACTCTAATAATACTAATAACTTACCGGGGCATATTTCAAAGAATTTTCAGCAGTCATCCAGTCTTTAATATCTGAAACTGCCAATTTAAATTATTGGTCAATTCCATACCTTTCACCAGATACTTGGAACCCTAAAAATAGTCAATCAGTGAATGAGATAAAAAATTTGATAAGGTAGGTATTTGTGTTGTCTTTTTTTTCGTACAAATAAAGTCACCTCGATCGATAGGTTCCGCAACTTTTTTACTGCGTGAGTGCGGGAAAAACTAGAGAAACAAAAAACTGTCGTTAGCCTTTTAAAAGTTTATATACTTCTTTATATTACGCTGGTAATGTCGGCCTTTATTTATAGTAGCACATTTATAATTTCGTTTATAAGAAAATTGTTTAAGTTATATAGGATATATTTTAAGGAATTGGGTAGTTTACTAGGTCAAAAATAGATTAATTTGATGTTTTAATGCAATAAAATATTGAAAAATAATTATACTTATATTCATCGATCGATGGATACTAATTATTGTGAAATAAGTAAGCTATTTGACGCAAAAATGTTAGGAGTCATAGCTCAGTTTTTCATACAAATTTCATAGAAAAGTATCGTTTTTGACTTTTGGATAAAAGTATTGAATTTGACTAGTTGGAAACTACCGTATTGTAATGGTCAGGCTGGTTTAACCTATTGTCTATTCAAATTCTTTCTCTTTCTGAACCGACCTTTAAACTTTCAAAAAACGAATGCATTCCTCTTTTCGCGGTAACGCACTTATGACACATCTGGTGCTGTGCGTGTCTCAGACTATCCAAGTTAACCGTCTGCACGTTTGCCTCTTACGTCATAACAACCTTGTTTGGTGATTAGCATTGAAACTTTTATTACTGCCCCTTACTTCTATCTTACTGGTCTATATGTGTGAAAGTTTAATTCTATCCATTTGGCCATTCAATATAAAAACCAGAACAGTCAAAAATGTTACTACTACATCCAAAGAAAAGAAGGAAGCCGATCGAATAAATTCAACTGTTTTCGCAAGGTACAGAGTCCTTCATATAGATACACTCTTTATCCCCCACTCGACAACTTTTCCTTCACGCTACATTACCCTTATCTCCACACTAAAGCTTTTAAAGCACAGCACTATGGCATCAAGTCACCGTCGTTATAAGTCAGTTGCCTGTAATTTTCCGCCATGTTCCCCCCAAATTACCGACAGAGGGCGTATTCACGAGCTGTTGCTGCAAATGGGGGGCAACGAAGCTCACTGGCTTCGACGATGTGCTGAGCTAACGATCATTTGTCACGATCTACGAAGAAAGTGTGACTCTAGCTGATCCGAAATCTAATGTCGCTTTGAAAAAGTTTTTATAGTGTGTCGATAATAGTTTATTTTCTGTTATTTGGGCAAAATTGTTTTAGTTAAGAACGTTGTTGTTGTAGATGAAAATCTTTATGTTAAAAAGGCCATAATTATCACTCGATTCTGGTAGGTAGACTTTTAGTCTATTCCGTCTTTTATACTAATTAACAAGTCTTTAATATTCGTCATTACCTTGCTAACAAACATATAAGCCCAAAAATCCTTAACAAACATACTTATGAAACGAGCAAACAAAAACAGAAACGGCGGGAAAATACTAAATGGAATTACGCACTTTTCCCCGACTCCCACAAAAGTTCGACTAAATCTATTTGACAAAAACTTTGTCAGAAATAACTCTGATAAAATTTTAATTAAACCCGTGACAGTCGCGGCGGTAGTCCCGTCTCCGGCTCTAATGAGCGAAAATTTACGACCAGAAACTCAGGTAATGTGAATTGCACAGTTCTGTGCAAATCCCTTTCAGCGGGTAACGAGAACGAGAAACGAATATTATTAAAACTGTTAATGTCGTTTCCAAATTGTTGGTAGTTTCAGTTTTTGCTGAATCACAATCTTTTTGTCCGTCTCAAGGTTGCAAAGTGTAAAATCATGAGATTAAGGAGACGTTTTTTGTTACAGAACATGAAGCAATTTGTAATGATTACTAAGATAATGACTTATTACAAAAACAAGTGAAACTTTAGTTGGATCTTGGATCACTCTAGGATTAACCAGAGAACTTGTTGTTGACCATTATTACTTGAGCCTGCTACCAATCTTTGATAAGTTATTTTATTTTCCATCAAGTAACCATTCCAGTGTGTCGTGGTGGGCCGGAAGTTAAGGAGCCCGCTTCTCATGCATGAGGGCGTGGGTTCGAAACCTGGCAAGTACCAATATGACTTTTTCCGAGTTATATGTATTTTCTATGATTATTTAGACACCACTGACATACGGTGAAGATAAACATCGTGAGGAAACCTGGACTTAGAATTTCTAATTATAAGTTGGAAATCGCCAACCCGCATTGAGCAAGCGTGGTGATTAATGCTCAAACCTTCTCCGTGTGAGAAGAGGTCTTTTCTCAGCAGTGGGCACTTATGGGCTGATGATGATGAACCATTCCTATAGGGCCAGTTATTGCCTCCAAAACCATTTTACGCCACGTATATCAAGATCCATGGTATCTTTTTTGGCTAAGTTCTCTTCAACTCTGAAAAGCCTCTCTCGCTCACAACTTGACACCTTATTCTCGTTAATGAGACAGTAGATGCGGAAGCGTAGGATTTAATACCCTTTGTTATCGTTACCAGCTCCCTATACATATATATACATATGTAGGTACAATGTATTTCGCATACCCACCCCGATACATACGCCCGCCAGCCTGCCCGCCTCCCTGAAACTCACAATTTAAGCTGCAGCCCAATTCTTCTTCTATTTTTAAGCAATTGCTATCTGTGTAACATATTGCAAATTGATTAGAGAAATGATTAAAATTTAAAAAATTGAAAGCAAACATTGTAGTTTTATTAAATTATATTTTGTGATTCTCCTGTAAACGGTACTTAATAGTTTGCCTTTTGATCCAGAACAAACAAGTTTAAACAACTAGAAATGATGGCAGACGTTGGAAAGGCAGCTATGGCGCCCTTTATGCTAAGTTGAATAATCTTAAATTAGTAATTGAAGATAAAAGCTTAGTTTATAAAAATGACTAGAATAGTTTTCCATGATTTTGCTTATATTTTTCCAAACGTGGTTTCGCTTACGTGACTTATCTCTAGACACGAAAGTCGTACTATAAAAACTTTCCATTATGATACTAAATGAAGGCAAATAAATAAATAAACTTTCGCATTTATAATATTAAGTAAAAACAGCATCCAAGAATCACTTACATCAACGCACTTTCGCTTTTGCTAAAGATTCGAAATTAATTTCGATTTTTATTTCCAGGTCGATTAAATCAGAGAATCTTCATCAAACTGCCGTCATGACGCTACACTGGTGGATGCACTGGTTCTGGGTGACAACGCTGTTCACCATCCATGGTAAGCATCGATATTGTTGAATAATTATTGTTTTTTTCTTTTGGAAAATGTAGCTAAATGTGTGTCAATGGTCTAGTTATTGGGTTTAAAAACACGGCCCCGCAGTAGAATTTTTTCCTTTATGGTGAATGTATTCACAAGCATATCGCACCCAGACTTCGATTAACAGTTTGTCGATTACACAATTTCTTCTGATGAAATAGTACTCGAGATATTTAGCTCATATCCTGTAACCTGTTTAAATATCTCGGCGATATATCGACAAGAAGCCTTAAATATGTATAGGATTATCAAAATAACTACGAAAAAATCAATTGTTTAATTCTGCTATTGCTAAAAGCGAATAACATGTTTCACTAAAACAACAAATTATGTCGGCTTTTTTTCAATTTTCAACAAAAAATATTTGCCAATTTTCGCTCTGGTTTTTACTATCATGTGAGAATGAAAAACTCATTGGTGTACAGGAAAATATTCTTGTATAATTTGTGTAACATAAAAATATACATAAAATAATAATAAGTTACATCCTTCCTGCGAAATACAGGAAAATGTGCTATTCTGTTCTACGGAAAACGTACGATCGTAAAAATGAAAACCTTTATTAATAAATCTGAAAAGACATGTTATTTATAACATCATCGACCTATATGTAAATGCTGAAAAAAGGACTCTTCTCATTCGGAGAAGGCTTTCACCACACCTGCTCAAGGGTGCAGGTGAGGCGAATTGGCGATTCCAAAATTAAAATTAGACATCAGGTTTCCTTACATTTTTTCCGATACCGTGTATCAGTGCACTCTAAATAACCGTAAAAAGAATGTATAAATCACATTAGTAGGATACTTTGAAGGAAGCGGGTGCCTTGACCACCACGATGTATAGTATTATTTCTGCAGTGTCACAATCAATTACTAAAAGAGTCATCCAAAATTATAAAAAGGTCTTATTACTGTAATTTTCTACACACCACCACTAATCCTCTAATGAATAGATACTCATTTCTTTCATTATATTTTATTATGAAGGCTTTTCTAAGATGCCCCTCGAGTTCCTCAAAAGGTCAAGGTCTATTCACAACCACTTGGCCTCCTCAAATTCCCTAGTGATCATCCCCAGCCCTTTCAAACCAATGAATGGGTCTTAAAATAATATCTGTAAAAAGGTCAACATGGTTGGTTGATAAGTCTTCAGAAATTAGTATTTTTTCGAGCCAGAATATAATATACATAATTATGCTGTAATGGTTGGTTGTAGTTGTTTTGAAAGAATATTCACGGTCTGCGTTATTTGGTTTCGAAAATTATGGACGTAAATAGAATAATAATTTGTATTTACTTACATTTATTTGACCTATGTACTTGCTATAGAGCTAGAGACGAGTAAATGCAGACCAAAATAAAATCATCAAAGAATTATTCAATCAAAATTAACATTGATTTTCAAATAAAATAGCACCACCGGCAGCTTTACTGGCAGTACAGTTTTTACAAAGAGTAAAAAGTAAACTATGTATATTTTATTCCAATCAACCTGTTATATCTATACCACATTTCATTCAAATCTGTTCAATAGCTTTATTTTGAACTTTCGTGTTTGACTAATATCTAATATATTAGTGAGATCTTCCATTAGGAAAGTAGGAGGTCGTAATAGTCATTAAATTATAACACGTAAAACACAAATACTGTTCTACTAAACGTTTGCATTAAATATGAATAAAAGCAATTCTTTCAATGCACACGCATATACAGTACGATAAATTTTCCGGTCGCTGCAAGCTATTTCCGATTTATTTACCATACCGTCCCGCACCAAGATATTTAATAAAGAATACTTCGCAAGCCTTCACTTTCAAGTATGCATTATTACTTCTTCACAATTTAATAATCTGTGGAACACTGTAGCAAGTCTTGTTAGGAATGCGAATTATAAAGCTTACTGATGTCTATGTTGTTTTTGGTAGCTGTTTAAAATTTTTGTTTCTTTTTTTTTAACTTTATAAAAATAGTTTTTATGTCCATCGGCAGCACGGAATGATAGGATGCGATCAAATCAATATTTTTTCTTTTTTTATACGGTTTTTATGTGATTGGATGTATGTATAAATACCCAAAAAAATTGTTATTAATGAAATCAAAGAAATATCGTTGTTTTATATTTTATTTACTAATCTGGATGCATATTCACATAATCACATCAATTCACCATCAGTCAGGTGAGGAGATGTATACAGGATAGATGTTACCTTTACCAAAGTTCAAGGTCAAACGATCACTTAGACCTTCTATTGGCAATATCGCAAAGTCACTGGAGCCATTTCGTAAAATTTTCCAGTCCAGCGCATTTCCGATTGGGGCAAATTGCCAAAAAGATGGCGATTGGCGACATTCAGGTAGAACTTACCAGTTTTTTTTATAAATCCACGTCTGTTTGTGGAGGACAGAAACTTTGAACTTTATTTCTTGTGATTGAGAATTTGTATTACTTACGCGCGAAGGTAAAGGTGATCTTGATAAGGCTGTGTGGAAACTACGAGCGCGATCCAAATAAGAGGAAATCGCAAAAACAGTAATAGCTCAATTCCAATTTATTTCAGAATGATAGCATTGTAAGTAGACTGAACAATACACGATTGTGTTGTGTATCAGAAACTTATTAAGAAGTATCGGTCATCTTAATTACTAATCTAATCTTTTAAGGGCGAAAAGCACGATCCGATTTCAGCCTGAACTATACTGCTCACTGCTTTATTTTTACTTCTTGTAAATAGCCTCTGCCATATTGAAACAATATATCTTTCTACGTAACTAACAAACTTTGAAACTTTAATAATTGAGAAAAGTAGAATGAATCTCGCCACTTGCAAAAGTTGTTCTTTCTAATACTTATGAGTTTATAAGTCATGACTTGAGTTATATGAATGTGTGAAAGATACCTACGCAATTTTCTTCTAAGTATATTGTAGGTTTAAGCTACCTTTATATATTTTTCTCCAGTCTTCGATGCCTATCCTTAACAGTTTTGTAAGTGATAAGAATATTATTTTGACATCAATTAACAATCTTAAACATCCATATAAATTCAAATAAGTCATTGAATGTCTTAATATTGGTTATTCGACAATCTTCTATTTAAAGACATTTGAAATCCAAGAACAGTAATTCAAAGGAATTTGAATTTAAAATAGCATCCAGATATTTTTTTATCATCGGACGATAAATTCGTGCCTTTGTTTATATAATATTAATCATCTTTTGGTAGATTAGTTAGTAAAGAAAAAAACATATTTTTGAACGACAAAACAAAATGGATCGTTCGGGTTCTATATTCAAAATGGTTCCTTCCTTTCTACTCTTAAATATGGAACAAAAGAAAACAGTTCCTTACAAAACTGCCTTTCCACAACACGAATGCCCTTCACAAACAGACACGAGACTCCATAGCTATTTAGTCTTGAAAGCAGTTCGAATATCAAACTTTAATTACACGAACCCTATAGGCAACGAAACCGAACAAAGACAAGCCGCCATTTTGAAGGATCTGGGTCAAGGCTCACTCGATGCCAATAATACGTAAATTATTCATTATGTTCGTGTAACAATGAGGAAACTTCAAATTATGGTTTGGACGTTGTACTTGTAATTGTAGAATGTTTTGCTAGCAGACACTTTAGGTGTTGGGTTCGCTTTCATGTGTTGGGGCTTCACTAATTACCTTATTTATTAACGTTGCTATAAGTTTCCTTTACATGTTTTGATTTATAGAGTACTAGCGGCCATAGTTATTTTACCATGCAAGAAATATAACCCATGTTACTACTCAGTTTGAATTCAGTTTTCGAATGGTAAAAGAATTTTGAAAATCGGCTTAGTAGTTCTTACCCGTACTACAGATACACAAAAATATTAGTTTTTTTGTATTTACTATGTTAGTCTGGGTATATTTACTTAACAAGGAACGAATACATAATTCCTTTTTTCAGTTTGAAGAACTTCATAACTGTTTATAGCGGTAGCGACCAACCTCCAATTTTGAGCAACGTCCAATTCAATTAAAACTTGCCAGTAACAAACCAAAAACTTAGAATCAATAAACCTTTCAAATATATTCTGCATAAACCATCTCTTTAAATTGGGATCGTAAATTTTCAACATACGGACGAACAGTCGGCAATTTTCTTCGCGCTTCTAACTGGCATATAAAGCAGGCATTGTCTCTCCTTGTGAAATACTGAAACAATTTTATATCTACGCATTTTTCTCAATGAATCCACTCTCTTTTTATTGTTCATTCTAAACTAGGCACACCATTGTATTTTATATCTAAAAGTAGTATTCCTTTAACAACGCATATTTCCTTGATTTTGAATTTGGAGAACTAGTATTTTAAGCAATAACGATTATTTCAATGTGAAATTATGATGTTTGGAGAACAACAAAAATATTAAAGGTGTAAGAATTGTTAAACAGCATTTTATAATAAAAATCTTCGTAAATATCCGAAAATATTATAGAGTACATACCAAACAGTTTAACAAGTACCTGTTATTATTTTCGTGAAGTACCTCTAGCTCTAATTGCTTCCTCTTCACCGTCCAGTCTTATATATCCAAACAAATACAACCTCTTACAAACGTAATGTCAAATGCCGGCGCCACTCACAGACAAAACATATACAAAAAGCCATTAGCCCTTCTGACACGCTCAGTCCCAGTGTTTCTTAATCTATGGACTGTATGTCTAAAGAGGTTTGCCAAGTTATCTATGGGCATTTGAAATATGTATATTATTTTATTTATCTTTTAAATAATAAATACCAGGCAACTGAATTTAACACAATTTAAAAAAGGAACTGCAACCTTCACATGATAACCATTTTCTCAAAACCTAATACTGAAATAAATTACTTAAATTAACCTGGAGACTTGTATTAAGAGTTCTTTGATGTTACACTTCATTTTCCAAAGAGCCGACGCGCTGAAAAAGCTTGAGAAACAC